GTTCCTGAGGTCGATAAGGGCTTTCCTCTCCTGGTCCTTTTGGGCATGGAGCTCTGCCTCCCGAACCATCTGCTGAATCTCATCTTCCGATAGGCCACCGGAGGATCGGATTGTGATCTGCTGCTCTTTTCCAGTCGTTTTGTCCTTGGCCGAGACGGTCACTATGCCATTGGCGTCAATATCAAAAGTAACCTCGATTTGGGGGAGGCCGCGCGGTGCCGGGGGAATGCCCTGGAGCTCGAATTCACCCAGGAGCTTGTTGTCGGTAGCCATTTCTCGCTCGCCTTGGAGGACCTTGATGCCGACTTGGGTTTGGTTGTCGGCTGCCGTCGAGAATGTCTAAAAGTGGCAAAATATTGATCATCACATTGATATTAAGGGTGTTATTGTTGGGAACAGAAGTTCTTGAAATATGGAGTTTGATATTATATTACCACCAACAAAAACGAAATGAAGAGAACTATGAATGTTATTTACATGATATTCAAGAAAACTGAAGGAATGAATGATATTAGAAAGCCCCAGACAGCTATGGTTTTGACAAAATTAATACCAGACAACATTCATTTTTCTAAAAAAAAAAAACAAAAATCTAGAGTTTTCTTTATATGTGACAAATGGGTTTTCCTCCAAAAGTGTAACAGCATTTATGTGAGACAAATGGGTTTTCTTTCTTTTTTGTTACTTCTTTGGTTCCCATTCATGAAATAACTATCATAATAGAAAATACCAAGGCTGAAGATGAGCTCACCTGACTCTTCTTTGTGGGGATAGTGGTATTCCTGTTGATCAACCTGGTGAAAATACCGCCAAGTGTCTCAATACCAAGAGAAAGTGGGGTGACGTCAAGAAGAAGCAACTCTTTCACATCACCACGGAGAATGCCACCCTGGATGGCAGCCCCCATGGCCACTGCCTCGTCCGGGTTCACTCCTTTGCTAGGTGACTTGCCAAAGATTTGAGAAACCACTTCCTGAACCTTAGGGACACGTGTCATCCCCCCAACAAGGAGAACCTCATTGATCTCAGTGATCTTCGTGCCAGCATCCTTCAAGCAGCTCAGGCAAGGGGCCTTGGTCCTCTCAATCAGGGGGTTCACGAGAGCCTCGAACTTTGACCTGGTCAAGGTTATGTTGAGATGCTTTGCGCCTGAGGCATCGGCCGTGATGAAGGGTAGGTTGATCTCCGTCTGGGAAGTTGACGAGAGTTCTATCTTGGATTTCTCGGCCGCTTCACGGAGCCTCTGGAGAGCAAGTTTGTCCTTCGACAAATCGATGCCTTCTGTCCTCTTGAATTCGCTCACCAGAAAATCCAATAGAGCATTATCAAAGTCTTCACCTCCCAAGAATGTGTCGCCATTGGTGGCTTTCACCTACATAGTAAAAAGTCATTGTATTTTAAAACTGTTCAATAATAAGTTATTTTCACACATATTTATATTCCGGCAGGTAACAATGTTATTATTCGATCATATCTAGTTATAATCTATTAAGCAAGAATCAAATTCGAGTCTTTAATTGCCCATTGTAATAAAAAACAACTTTGGTAGCTGGAATGCATATAATAACTATTTCACTTTGGTAGCTGGAATGCATATAATAACTATTTCATTACCTCAAAAACACCACCGGATATCTCCAAGATTGAGATATCAAAAGTACCACCACCAAGATCAAAAACAGCAACAAGACCCTCTTTGTTATTAAGGCCATAAGAAAGTGCCGCTGCCGTAGGCTCGTTAATAATTCTTTGCACATCAAGACCCGCAATTCTACCAGCATCTTTTGTAGCTTGCCTTTGGGCATCATTGAAATAAGCTGGAACTGTAATCACAGCCTTGTTAACAGTCTTGCCAAGGTAGGCCTCAGCGGTTTCCTTCATCTTGGTTAGAACAAAAGCACCAATCTGACTTGGTGAGTACTGCTGGCCATTTGCTTCAACCCATGCATCCCCATTCGGGGCACGGACAATCTTGTAAGGGACCATTTTCATTTCCTTCTGGGTCTGAGGGTCATCAAACCGCCTACCAATTAGACGCTTGGTTCCAAAGACAGTGTTGGTTGGGTTGGTGACAGCTTGTCTTTTGGCAGGAGTTCCCACCAAAAGCTCCCCCTTTTGGCTGAATGCAACTACTGATGGCGTCGTTCGAGCACCTTCAGAGTTCTCAATAACTTTCGGGTTCTGAAAGAGATATCAAGTTGTCAGTTTTCGGTCTAATCATCTGTAACTGTGAAGATTACATGCTTTAATGTGCAAAGGTCTCACCTTTCCCTCCATGACAGCAACACAAGAGTTAGTAGTTCCCAAGTCAATTCCAATTACATCATTTCCGGCTGGTTTAGTGCTGCCAACAAGAAATACATTTAGAATTTTTTGTCAAAAAGGTTTACTATCAAAAGTTTGATCTGAAAATGTACCTGAATGGCCTCGCAAGACCCATCCATTTATTACTTGGAGCCCATGAAGGCTTGATGTTTCCAGTTAACTGAAAGAACGTACAAAAGAGTAGAATCAGTATAAAGTAGGCATCTTGAGGTGCTAAAAACCGTTAAACAACAATATCACAATACCAGAGTTCAAATGATATTCGTAATATTAAGGAAGTATTGATTGTTCTCCGAGTCACAAGATACAAGGAAATTTTAATCAATCAGGTCAACAACTTGGGGGCTCAATAGATTTCCACACACAAAACACGGTAGAAGAACATTTAATCCAAACAAAATCAAATCAACTAACAAAAACATAAAACCAAGATAATCTCTTACGTTAGACAGATTTATGCAATAGAACAAAGGTAATCCACCTAAAATACACATCTTTCAATGAAAAATGATCAAACAACAATCATGAGCATAAGTTTTCAGTCTTTTCAGCAGTATGTTGCGAATTAAGAGACGTCAAACAGATAATCAAAGACCTCACGAATTGGCAAAGAACATTTCAAGTTTAATATTTGAGTACTAATCAAAATCTGCACCGTTCACACAGAATCTAACAAGTACATGAGGAAATAGACATATTAACTCGCAAACATGGACAGAGAACAAGATCAATTGGAAAATAAACTCGCCAGAAGATACGTACAGTTCCAATAGCCGAAAAGGAACGGACAGATCTGCGAAGAACGGCGGCGGTCGCCATTGATGAGTTAGATAGAGCGAAAGATGAAAGCTGGGTGTTTTTTTTCTCGCAGCTTGTGCTAGGGTTTAGGGTTTATAAAGTGGTGTAGGAGAGAACACGGAGGCGGTTTGTGAATAGCGTAAATGTGGCTACTAAAACTTACTAGAAAGCTCCTCTGCCCATTTGATTTTCTTTTTTATTTTTATTTTTATTTTCTTTTTCGTTTTAGTCACATTTGATTTTTTTTTTTTTTTTATTTTGTTATTAGTACAATACTCGTGTACTACCCGAATATTTTTAAAAAAATGTTTTTAAAAATAAATAATAATAACAAAAATTATTTTAGTTTTTAAATACTTTTTTTGAAAAAAATATATTATTATTTATTATATTTAAAATAACACCAAACACATACACGAATTACCATCTTATAATATATTTTTTTTAAAATGTATAAAAGAGAACTACTTTGTAGTTAAGTTAATTTAAATGACTTTATTTTTTTGGATTAATATTGATATGTAGTTTAATTTTAATTATAAGTATAAATAAAATTATGTATTTATTTGGCATGTGTAATATATATGTCAAATCGAAGTTCATCAAGACATGATTCATTGGATGTTTATATTTGATAAGGGGAAAAATATACATTATTAGGCGACACGTGGCTCGCGAGAATAAAGGCACGTGTGTTCCGAAGACCGTTGGTATCCAAGGTCAAGGCCGAGGCCCAACCTCAATTTAGGTTGAATGTCCTCAAGAGTCTCACTTTAGGCCCAAGGTCCAAAGGTGGCCTAAATGGTGGACCATAGTCCACCAAACTAGTGGACTGGGAATTTCTCCGTCTGCACAGGAAAGACCTAGGTCATTCGACCTCTATAAAAGGATGACCTAGGTCAAGGTAAGGCCAGACACGCTCTCTTCTACTCACTCTATAGCCGTCACCCTAAAATCGATTCTAACTTAGGCATCGGAGGATCTATCCCTTGGGACAACCCCGAGGTTCTGCTTTGCAGGCGTCAGAGCGAAGGAGCCGACCAAGGAGGACGTTGGAGCATACATCGTCGCCACGTGTCATTGGACTAACGTCATGTATTTCTT